AATTTCGCTTAGGGCGTGTCCGAATCCACTTTTGCTAGTTTAAGAACAGGAAAGATGGTTGGCGCGCCCGGCACATGGTCTAAAATGGTTGTCCCTATTCTCTTAATGAGTAATGGGTGTGTTTTGGGCGTAACATGCCATAAACCAATCAGAATCTCCCATTCCCTTTGAAAAGCTAGCTGCACTCACGCCATGGCAGATTCGCTTTTACATGGTGGAATTTGCAAGCGGAAAAACTGAACGCTTCTCTAGTGAGGGAAAGGATCTGCTCGTGTGCGTAATTCTGATACATGCAATGACTATCCATTATGACGTAGGCATTTTTTTATTTATGTACACAATAATAATAATCTTTTACATTTTAATCCTTTGATTTTTCATTTTTTTTAAATGTTTGTGTGCTGCAAAGTGTACACGCTTTGTGCACCCGCCTATAGGCGCATATTACTAACGCACTATTTAAATAACAAAAAATATATATCGTGCCAGACTTTAGACAAGGTTTTTGTTGGTCAATGGTGCAGTCTATTTCAGTTGCCTCAAAATAGCAATGCACCAGCAATGCGCCTGAACACACCTCGTTTTCAGACCAGCACGCCCATGGGCACAAATTCATTAGCTATTTAAACAATGTTGCACCGGACGTGAAAATGACAACTGAGTCAGGCTGAAACTAGCAAAAAACACTTGCGTCGCACCTGGCGCCGCATTGCGCCAGGTGTATAATAAGGCCCTAAAAGTCCACATATTATATTTGGTTTATGCCTCACTGGCCTTTCTTCCCAGTGATATTGGACATCATACTGACACCTACTGGTGTGAATGCATTTTTAATTAAAGTATTTAATTAAAATTATGTCATTGTTTATTTACCCTCATGTTGTTCCAAACCTGTATGACTTACTTTCTTCTGTGGAACACAAAGGTAGATATTCTGTAAGTCAGTGGAGTCTGAACAACATTGGACCCCGTTGGCTTTCATTGTATGAACAAAATACACAGATAGTTCTCCAAACATCTTAATTTGTGTTGCACGGAAGAAAACAAGCTAGACAGACTTGAGGATGAGTAAATGATGACAGAATTGGCTGTTTTAACTGCTGCCACTTCACACTGAAGCTGTTTAGTCATCTTTGTTATTTTGTTACATTATTATGGCTGGCGATGTGAACGAATGGGGACAGATGGGGTTGGAGCCTATACATCAGCTGAATAAAGATGTTAAAATGGGTGGATTAGCCTCACCATATTGAACTGCAGAAGAAGCGAAGGTTAAACAATGGCATTACAGATAATATTTCAGTTGAGATACAGACGGAATCAGATCTCTGCATCCAGTCTGGATGTTATTATGGATGTAGCTAACAGAAAACTGAACGCAGGCGCTGTGTGTGTATGTAGTAGTTGTAGTAAAGTGTATTTTTGGCCAGTATTCCTAAAGGGGCTCAGTGATTGAAGTAAGCTGGCAGGCGCACATGGTTTGCTGCTTCACGCTCCACTGAAAATCAGGTCGAAAGTGGTCTGGAGTCAGACATGTATTAAAAAAGTGGAGCAGGTAAAGCTGGTGTCTCCGCGGCGCACGTTCAGAATAACAATAACTAGACAATGGTTTTCTTTGAGATATCAGAGTGTATTTTCCATGGAGATACGAAGATCGTGATTGGTATTTTCACCTGAGGTCTAAAAGTAGGAAACATGGCAGCATGTGTGATCCGTGAGCTGGCAGATCTTTCATTTTCTTTTGATAATAATGAAATGATTCAGTCATCAATATGAAGGATGAAGAAGCTCACTGGATGAGGAACAGCTTGTGTAGGAATCGTTGAAAATGGATTTGGATTGAAGGAGGCGAATATCTTCCCCTGGTGTGTTCCTTTTAGATTCTCTTCAGAGATAAACGCACTGATTCATAGTCTGTTTACACCCCAAGGCTCCTAATTTGTGGAGGATATGCTGTTCAATGACAATGAAATTAATGGTATAAACCTCCTTTCCCCCCACTATTTCTCTAAGTCAGTTTTAGATTCTATTAAGTTGCTCTGTTTTCCTGCAGTGCATCATAGCAGTGTTTAAAGTCGATTTTCAGTTGTATGCTTCAATTATATTGTCGTTGGGGAATCCGAGGGAGGCGATGCACGACTCGATAGCCTGTTGATTTAACGGTATTTCCAACTCTCCGAAAACATCAAACAATTTCAATACGATCGCTGACAGTCAATCTCATTCTCAATCTCAAGCCACAAATTGCAAATGTCATTAATAGTCTTACGGTTCACAGAGGGCGCCCCACGTTGGGCGCCACATTTGTGAAATAAAGTTTGAGAGAAATGTCACAAGCAGTCTTTCAGTCTCACTCTTCCATGTTTATTCAGTGAGAGTAACCAAATAAAAAGCATATTTGATTAATATGACCCAATATTTGATGGCCTATAAGTGCCCGTAGCAAACAGGATACATCTGCATGCTGTGCTGCACTGGAGCCAATGAGCAGAAATAATCCTGAGCTTCTTCTCTCCACTCTAACATTTGAAGTAGAAATTCTCCTTAGGAAAGACACTCTTTGAAGTCACAGTGCTAAAAATAACCTAGATATATCCGTTACTTTGAGCTTTCACTGACACACACACGGAGTGAGCTTTTGCCAGGCACAACAGTGTGAAGAACAACAGTGACACACTTGTGTCTTAACTGTCTGCGAATCCAAGGGGGAGTCAGTATGAGTGTTCTGGTTAAGGCTGTGCAATATATCAAAATTAAATCTAAAGCATGATATGGCAGAGTTTCAGAATTGCAGAGAAGCTTGGGTCATGGTAAATGTTGCTCGACATAAGCTCAATCTCTGCATGTCGCTTAAAAAGTGAATTTGGGAATGCAATGTGAATCTGTTGCCAGCAAAAGATTAGCTGTAAAGGCTAACTGCATTTTCTGCCAAAATAAAAGCTCAATGGATTACAGAAAAATTTATGCAATTAAGAAATTACGATGCAAATATTAGCATTGTAATTTTACAGCTGTATAAATACACAGTACAAGTACAGTATTGCATAGTAATAAGATTTCTTACTAGGTTTAATATTTTTATGTAATAATAAGATTAATAAAATATCTCTTTATTTCTTGATTACTGAAAGATGTCCGAGTTGGTTCTTGTGAAGACAAGTGAACAAGTTTTTTTCCGAAATTGTTCAGCCCTAAAAGAATGGTTTGCACTCAAAATAAATTTTCAGAGTAAGTCTTTATTATTATTATTATTTTCTATGCATAGAAAATAGTTATTTTAAATTGTAATAATATTTCACAATATTAAAGTTTTTACTGTATTTTTGAAATAAAACACAGCAATTTAAAATGCTACCTTAAGCATAAGAGACTATTTTCAAAAACATCTACAAATCTTCTGAATGCCAAACTTTTGAATGGATGGGTACACATTGGTTTTAAATTTGTGTTCATCAATCATTTCAAACACAGCGACACTTTTTAGTGGATCACGTTCATTGTTTCAGTAATTTGATGAACTTGATGATCTGTGGTTACTCTGACAGGACACCTGTGTGAACCTGAGGAAAACCAACTTCATGCAAACACTAAAAATTGACACTAGTTCAGGGGTGGCGAACGTCGGTCCTGGAGAGCCGCAGCCCTGCAGAGTTTTGCTTCAACCCTAATCAAACACACCTGAACAAGCTAATCAAGGTCTGAAGGGTTACTAGAAAGCTACAGTCAGGTGAGTTTTAATTAGGGTTGGAGCTGAACTCTGCAGGGCTGCGGCTCTCCAGGCCCGGAGTTCGCCACCCCTGCACTAGTTGATTAGAAGTCATTACAAAAATAATCAATTTTTGTATCTAATTCTATGAAATCCATACATTTAAAGTATGACTTGAAGCCTAATACTTTTTGCACCCGCTGTAATTTTGGGAAAAATAATTAATTGAATGTGTCAACTGCCTCAATCAAACTTAAATCCTTAAATCCTTTTGCCCAATAACAAGCTTTCTGAGTGCTTTATTGAATGAGTGAATTAACTTTATTCAGACATTATTTCGCTAATCTACTGTGCATTTAAATGAGACATTTAAATGGATTAAAAAGATGTAGCTCTTTTCACATTAGATAATTACATTAATTGCAGAGAGGCACAGGTTGATTTCGTTAGAGGTGTAATAATCAAAATTGTAATAAAAAATTAATTTCATTTATTGCATTGGATATGAATGGTTGATTTCATATGCTGCACCATAAAAAATGTATTGTTCTGCAGGGACGGGGGAAGTAGGGGTGCTGAGGGGGCTGCAGCACCCCCTGTTTTCACATGGTTGCAAATGCAACGCCAATTTTGTTCATTTAAATTTATTCAGTTTTAGCATTTAATAATTTATTTGTAATGATCACTGAAATGTAAATTGTATGTGGGCTATTATAAACCCATGTTTATTTTTATAAACCTGATAAATTTTACTTGATGTTTTCTATATGGGATGATTAGCCTAATCCTCATGAACACGTGACGCTAGCGCGTGGTATCAGAGATGAACTGTACAGAATGCAAACAAGATTAACTTTAATACAAGGAGATAAATGGCGCAAACGCGAATTTCAGATTTTTTTAAATGCCCATCCCAGCAAAAACTTTCCAAAATCGGCATCCAAACAACACCAGTCCCAGCACGAGCACCGACGTAAGTGAACCAGCCCCCCCGAACCCCCTTCACCCAACACGGACACACACAGCACCCCCAACCGAAAACATCTTCCCGCGCCCCTGTTGATTTGTGTCTGAGCATCTCTAAAGTCAGAACATTTTATATTATTTCTTTAAAATAAGTCTACATAATATTTTGTAGAGGACCTCAGAGATAAAGGAACTGAGTTTTGGGACAATGGTTTGAAACCGGGACAGTTAGATATTCTGCCGAAGACATCACAGTCACAGTGTATGACGGCTCAAGCGGCAACGCGCATGTAACTGAATTTGTCAGAGCTTGTCCTTATGTTCTTACCAGATGGAGCAGAGATCCTCCTGAGGAAATCACTGTGTTCAGGTCAGCTCCCTCCTTCAGCAGCCTCAGCACTGGAACAAAAGAAAAAGCAACGAGGGATGAATATATTTGCAAAATGAACACTTCTCACAAACACATAGTGAGGAAATATGATGAATTATTGCAATCCCTACAGACACACATACGGGCTCTGTTCCAAAACCTAGTGTGCTGCCTAGCTGTCTACTGCCTACATATAGGCGCCAACCTTATAAGACCATATTCTTATGGAAATGGAACCTCACAAGTGACTGATTTATAACACGCTACATCAAGAGAAACAAACAGTGCTACTCAAAAAAGTGGAGGAGTTTGGTGTTAGCATGTTGCTAAGCTAACAAACATATAGGGGGAGAGAGGGGCAAAGTGAGCCAGTGGGTAAGTTGACCTACCCCCTGTATCTAGGCAACCCTACAGATTTTTACCAATGTGACCACAAATCCAGGAAGCAACCATCATTTCAATTTTGCTGTGGTGGAGGGAAGCACATGTTAAAGTGGTAAGTATGATTTTTTTTCACAAAAAAAAAGTAAAGTTTATACATGTCAGGTATAATGGCTGTTATGTCAAAGCAGATTTATCCAGGCCTAAATATTTGTACCATACATATTGGTGATAGACAAATGTATAAAACCATGTGAATGATTTAGCTAAAGATTAGCCTGAATTACTAAGCCAGGCAGTTTTTCCAAAAATGGTGGCTGTGGGGCAAAGTGAACCAAATGATGTGGGGTAAACTCAACCAGCGGTTCAACTTACCCCACCATGAGGCACTGAAGACACTGAATGTGTGTAGTTAAAAAAATGTATTTCAGTGTAGTATCACACAACTGATTTTATTTCATATTTTAAACATTTTAGAAAAGATATCACGCCAAGATATTATAAGAGGAAGACCAACTGGAGCTCAATACCCCTTGAGGACATGGAGAAAGCAGCAAATGATGTAATGGGTGGCAAATACATCAGAGCTGTGGCAAAATAAAAAAATATTGACAGGTCAAACTTACGTAGATATATAAAAAAGAAGGAGGGACAGGAAGTGAAAACCACTGGTTACAGTGGAACAGCAGAGGCAAAGAGGGTCTTCACAGAGGAGCTAGAGAAGGAGCTTGCAGACCACATCAAGAAGCTGGCTGACCAGTTACATGGCCTTACCCCCCAAAAATGTTGTGAATTGGCATTTGAATCGGCAGACAGAAACAATATTCCTGTCCCCAACAACTGGAAAGAGAAGGGTTTAGCCGGTAGGATGTGCAAGACATCACATAATTCAGTAGCTCAACTAAGTTTAACTGATCTTGTGCAGCTAAACATAGCATCTTGATATAATTAATTATTTTTAGGTCGAGATTGGTTCAACAATGTCAAAGCACGTCACCATCTCTCCTGCCGTATACCTGAAGCAACATATGTGGGAAGTGCTTCAGCCTTCAATAAAACTAAAGGAGTTCTTTAACAATCTGTCAAAAGTGATGGACAGGTGAGAGAACACATTAGATTACATTTATAACAATAACTGAACACAACAGATAAGTACATATACAAAGACTGGCACATGTGTTGTTCTACTAGTTGTATTTACAAGGATATCAAGTGAGGGCTGTTTAGTTGCTTCTTGCATTAACTGCAAGGTTTAGGCACTCTGATTCCAGTTTGGCTCTTTCATGTTCTGTCTGTTTTATAGGCATAAATTCCCTCCAAACATGATTTACAATGTTGACGAAACCGGTGTCACAACAGTGCAGACACCAAAGCAGGTAGTGGCAGAGAAAGGAAAAAAACAAGTGGGTGCCATCACATCTGCTGAAAGAGGAGAGCTTGTGACTGTGGTCTGTGCCGTCAATGCTACTGGGAATGCAGTCCCTCCTATGTTTATCTTCCCACAGGTTTGATATAAAGAACATTGCATCACAGGAGCACCTCAAGGATCAATTGGGACATCCACCAGATCTGGCTGGATAAATGAAGACACCTTTGCTGAGAACATCTAGTTCAGCACACCAACTGCTCCTCTGACCATCCCATGTTGCTAATCCTTGATAACCATGAGGCCCACATTTCAATGAGGGCAGTGGATATAGCAAAGAAAAAGGGTATTGTTCTGCTCACCATTCCACCCCACACGTCCCATCGCTTACAGCCTCTGGACAAGAGCATTTATGGTCCATTTAAGACCTATTACAACAAAGCTCTTGATGGTTGGATGAGAACTAACCCAGGCAAAACATCCACCATATACCAGATCCCTGGATATGTGAATGAGGCTTTCATGTTAGCAATGACACCACGGAATATAACTTCTGGATTCAGGTCCTTGGGAATTTCCCCTTACAACAGAGATATTTTCTCTGATCAGGAGTTTGATCATTGATCATGAGCCATCCATGGTAACAGACAGGCCAGCCCCTGAGCTACAGTCTGCTGTTGCAGATGATCCACCAATTGCTTCAACCAGCATCACTGCTTTCACCATGCCTCACACATGGATGTGCTTCACCAAGAGAAACGGATTTGGATCCCAGCCACACTTCATACGTGTCTGCAGAAGAAATTCTGCCCCTACCCAAAAGTATGCCCAGGACACAAACAAAGAGAAAGCGTTTGAAGTCAAGAATCCTAACTGATACACATGAAAAGCAAGCAATTGAAATGGCTCATGAAGAAAGAAAAAATAAACAGCAGGGATGACATTTCGGAGTATGAGAGCTCTGAGGATGATAGTAGCGACATCTCAGATCTGTTTGTTGGTGACTTCATTATAGTGAAGTTCAACACCAAACGCAGGAGCTATCATTAAATTGGCATGGTTGAGAAACTTGAGGTCGACGAAGTGAGTGCAAGATTTCTCAGAAGAATCCGGGGGAGCACTGTCAATGAGAAACCCACTTTTGTCTTCAAGGAAAATGATGTGGCTTTTTTTCCCACAAAGTGATGTGCTGAAGAAGCTACCTCAACCTCAAAAGGCTGGGGGAACTGCAAGAAGGGAGTAATCCTTCATATTTCCCTGCAACCTTGATGGGTGGAATGTTGAATAGTTGTTGAAATGCAGAACAGATTTGGTTGTTTTGATGTTGTTTACATTAAAAGTTATGTTGTGCCAAGTTACGTTTAAAATTACATTTAAAGGAACACTCCACTATTTTTTTGAAAATAGGCTCATTTTCCAACTCCCCTAGTGTTAAACAGTTGAGTTTTACCGTTTTCGAATCCATTCAGTCAATCTCCAGGTCTGGAGGTAGCACTTTTAGCTGCAGCTTAGCATAGATCATTGAATCGGATTAGACCGTTAGCATCTCGCTCAAAAATGACCAAAGAGTTTCGATATTTTTTGCTATTTAAAACTTGACTCATCGGTAGTTACATCGTGTACTAAGACCGACGGAAAATGAAAAGTTGCGATTTTCTAGGCCGATATGGCTAGGAACTATACTCCCATTCCGGCGTAATAATCAAGGAACTTTGCTGCCGTACCATGGATGCAGCAGGCGCAGCGCCTGAAAATAGGCTAACTTCCGCCAACATAACCAACGTGACCACCTACTTGCACAGGGAACATGCTGGGGACTATTTTCAGGCGCTACGCCTGCTGCATCCATGGTACGGCAGCAAAGTTCCTCGATAATTACTCCGGAATGAGAGCATAGTTCCTAGCCATATCGGCCTAGGCTAGAAAATCGCAACTTTTCATTTTCCGCCGGTCTTAGTACACGATGTAACTACAGAAGAGTCAAGTTTTAAATAGGAAAAATATCGAAACTCTTTGGTCATTTTTGAGCGAGATGCTAACAGTCTAATCAGATTCAATGATCTATGCTAAGCTGCAGCTAAAAGTGCTACCGCCAGACCCGGAGATCGGCTGAATGGATTCGAAAACGGTAAAACTCAACTGTTTAACTCTAGGAGAGTTGGAAAATGAGCCTATTTTCAAAAATAGTGGAGTGTTCCTTTAAGAAAAGTGTGAATTTTTAAACTATGTTCAGGTTTACACTAAAAAAGAAAAAAAAGTCAGTGGGTCAGTTTACCCCACTTGGCTTAGTTTACCCATTCACACTGATCAACTTACCCCTCAGCTGGGGCAAGTTGAGCCACAAGAGCACTTCTTTTTTTAAGAAGCCACATTTTCAAAGCCCTTTGTTATTAAGGCATTCTTATAATTTCATTTGACAGAAGACATCCTGAAATAAAGGTTGATGTTTTTGTTTGACTTCTGTCTCATTTTTTCAATGCAGAGAAGGCAACACATGTAAAAAGTGGCACATCTTGTTACAAAACAAGCAACAAAAATGTTAACATCAGCAGGTTAGCCTTCTGAGGCTATCTGACAACAACTCAGGCATATCGAAAGGAATATCTTCAAAGGAACATATTTAAAGAAATGAACAAAGGGAAGAGGACAAAATTGTCGACCAAAGGCCTGTTTAAACCAAGAACAATAACTATAAAGATGATAACAATAACTATATTTCTTTCATGACAAATTTCAGAAAGTTATGCATGGTAATATACGTACATGGCAATGTTACTGTGTTTGGTCTTGGCAGAATAGATCTGCTACGCTACTGCTGCTGCAGAGCAAGTACCGAGAATTGCTCCTGGCAATACATCCACAGACACGCTGCTGTCAGCATGCAAGAAATACTGCTGCTGCACATATAACATACATGAAATTACCCTGTAGCAAACCTATATGGGTGGAGCTGGGGAAGGTGGAGGGTTTCTGAAGCGTGCTGCAACTGCTACAGCAAGCACTAGCCAAGTATTTGAATGTTGAGCAGCAAGCTCATTGGCTGCTGATGCGAAAGAAACCAATCAGCTGTGCCATGTGAATAATGATGTGATTGTGTCAGACTGAATTAGAACCTATCGGCCTGCGCCATCTAGAGTTCCATGACAGAACTTTGGATTAGCGTCAACACCAACAGACAATAGCATTGTTTAATATCAGTGCTTGAAGTTGCGTCAGGCTTGAGCTTTTTAAAGCCAGGTGGATTCTGAGTGTCAATGTTCTCATCATTCATTAGCTGGAAAA